CCTCACTCTGCTACCCAGGCTGGAGTACAGTGGCGTGATGATCTCAGCTCACTGAAACCCCTACCTCCCAGGCTCAAGCCATGCCCCTACCTCAGCCTCCCAAGTAGCTGGGACTACAGGCGCACATCACTATACCCAGCTCATTTTTATATTTTTTGTGGAAGAGGGGATTCACCATGTTGCCCAGGCTGGTCTTGAACCCATGAGTTCAAGTGATCAGCTCGTCTCAGCCTCCCAAAGTGCTGAGATTACAGGGTGAGTCAACACACCTGGCCCTCAGATTGCTTTTTAAAAGTCAGTAATGATAATATGGCTTTAGCAGAGATATATGGGTAAAGGCTTCTTAATGGCATGTTTTAAGAGAAAGAAATATGAGAGGAGAGTTTTAATGATGATTTGAGAATGTTTTAAAGCAATTTCATGATACCTAATATTTCTTTGTTTAATTTGGCTATTTGTAGTATAAATAGAAAATTAAAAGTAGTATTAATTCTTAGAAAATAAACTCAAAATGGTTAATTACATAGAAAATGTAATATAATGATGCTAATAAAGTACAGAAATTTATAAAATGCATTTAGTTTTCTTTTTCTGGATCAAAGTATTAATTCTTTCAAATATATTGAATTATCTTATTATTATGCAGTGGATCCACATGATTATATCAATTTTAAAATTGCACTCCATGGCAAGGTGATTTGTTTGCTGATACTCTAAACTATTTGAATAGGGTATCAAAAGACGCAGAAAAGAAAGTATGTCTACTTGTATTTTAGCCTATTTAGAACTAATTTAAAAGCAGCTGTCAGAACCAGCCTTCTAGGATTTCTTGTTGCCTATGTAAGGCATTGCTTTTTACTAAGTCTTATAGAGCCTAGCAATAATAGTTTAAAACATAGAGCATGCTTTTGAGAAGATAATTTTAGCAACAATTACTTTATATAAAGTAAAAGTAACTTGATATTAAAGGTAACCATTTTAAAATATTGAGAAGTAAACTTAATTGAAAAATCTTCATGATACCATTAAAACATAAATTAATGTTTCTAAGGAGGTCTTAAACATTTTTCAAATGCACTGGAAAATAGACATGTAAAGTATGATCCCGCCATTGTACCTCACACAGAGTACTGATATTTTTACAGAAAATACAAGGAGCTAAGTATGGACGTTCTGTACCTGCAGTTAACTGGTGCATATAATGAAATAAAAGCTGGCATTTCTTCCTCTTATCCAAGGAGAAAAGTGGAGCAATTTTCTAGGAGTTTAGGTTGACATATAATGGACAAGATGAACTATTAACCTATAATTATTTTAAGGAAAATTTTCTTTGAACTTGTCTGAAAATTGGAGGAGCAATAATTAATATCATGCAGAAGAAAATACCCAGGCTCTGGAATTTTATTTTTTATAGATATATCATAATTGTACATATATTGGGGGTATATGTGATGTTTTGTTACATGTATACAATGTGTAAAAATAAAGTCAAGGTAATTGAGATATCCATCACCTCAAACTTCTACCTTTTCTTTGTATTGGGAACATTACAAGTCTTTTCCAGTTATTTTGACATATACAGTAAATTACTGTTAACTGTGATTTTCCTATGGCGCTCCCAAATATTAGGACTTATTTCTTCAATCTAACTGTATTTTCATAGTCATTAGTCAACTTCTCTTCATTTCTCTTTCTCCTCACTTTCCCTCCCAGTCTCTGGAAACCATAATTCTACCATCTACCTCCATGAGATCTATTTTTTTTTTTTTAGCTCCCATATATGAGTGAGAACATATTCTTTGCTGGTTTGTTTCACTTAACGTAGCAACCTGCAGTCCCATCCATATTACTGCCAATGACAGGAATTAATTCCTTTTTGTGACTGAATAGTATTTGATTGTATACCTATACCACATTTTCTTTATCCGTTTTTTCAGTGATAGAAACTTATGTTGATTCCATATCTTGGCTATTATGAATAGCACTGAAATAAACATGGGTATGTAGATATCTATTCAATACAATGATTTTCTTTCTTTTGCATATATACTTAGCAGCAGGATAGCTGGATTGTAGGGTAGTTCTATTTTTAGTCTTTTGAGAAACTTCCATACTGTTTTCCATAATGGCTGTACTACTTTACATTCCCACTAACAGCATACAAGCGTTTCTCTCTCTCTGTATCTTTGCCAGCATTTGTTATTTTTTGTCTTTTTGATAATAGCCATTCTAACTGGAGTGAGATAGTATCTCATTTTGTTTTTGATTTGCATTTCCCTGATGATTAGTGATGTTGAGCATATTTTTAAACACCTATTGGGCATTTGTATGTCTTCTTTTGAGAAATGTCTATTTAGGTATTTTGTCCATTTTAAATTGGATTACTGTTTGCTATTGAGTTGTTTGAGTTTCTAATATATTCTGGTTATTAACCTCTTGTCAGATGGATAGTTTGCAAATATTTTCTCCCATATTATAGTGTCTCTTCGCTTTGTCGAATGTTTTCTTTGTGTTCAGAAGTTTTTCAGCATGATGTAATACCACTTAGCTACTTTTGTTTTTGTTGCCTGTTCTTTTGAGGTCTTACCCAAAAAATCTTCACCTAGACCAACATCTTGTAATGTTTCCTCAGTGTTTTATTTTTGTAGTTTTATAGTTTATGTTTGACATTTAAATCTTTAATCAATTTTAAGTTGACTCTTGTATATAGTGAGAGAGAGAAGGGTCTAGTTTCATTCTTCTGTATATGTATATCCAGTTTTCCTGGCATCATTTATTAAAGAGACTGTCCTTTCCTCAGTGTATGTTCTTGGAGCCTTTTACAAAATTAGTTGGCTGTAAGTGCATGGATTTATTTTTGTGACCTTTATTCTGTTCTATTCATTGGCATGTCTGTTTTCATGCTAGTACTGTGTTGGTTTGGTTACTACAGCTTTGTAGTATAATCTGAAATCAAGTTCTTTAATGCCTCCAGTTTTGTTCTTTCTGCTCAGGATTGCTTTAGTTATTTGGAGTCTTTTATGTTTCTCCATTAATTTTGGATTCCATTTTCTATTTCTGCAAAGAATGTTATTCATATTTTGATAGGATTGCTGAAATTTGTCTTTTTAATAGGTCAGCAGAGAATATAGGAAATGATATTTGCTTTTAGTTCCTGGGTCTTTCATAAAGAATATAAAATCTCTGTGTAGTCCCTTTCTACCCTATCTATAATATTTATTATTTACTCATTTATATGGCAGGGCTATACTGAACCATAAACAAGGTTGGGAATTTGCATAATCTGCATATAACTGTGATTCAGCAATATGTATATAGTTGATTCTCATTATCTGTTATTTCATATTTCCAAATTCACCTTCTCAGATATTTTACATTTTTGTGCTTAATGTTGGTGATTTCATGTTTTGAAATGGCCCCGAAAAGCAGTGCTGACATGCTGTCTCATGTTCCTAAGCACAGTAGGCTGTCACACACCTTATGGAGGAAACAGGTGTGTTAGAAATTCTTTGTTGAGGCATAAGCTACAGTGCTGTTGATTTGAGTTCCATCTTAATCAATAATCAACAATATGTGTTATGTAAGATACCTTTAAACAGCAACATACATAAAACAAAGTTATGTATTGATTATTTGACAAATTTTGGAGCCAGAGATTTGCAAAAACCTAATCCTCTATTTCTTCTAGGAACAATGCTTTACTATTTGCTAATTCAGTGTTTGTGGTGACTTCATAAATCACAACTACTGCAAATATCAAGAATTGACTGTATTGAAAATGTATGATTACCAGTTAGTGGGCTAGGCCCCAGAGATTCAGGGACCAAAGGCACAGTGCCTGGCCCCACAAGGATCACTACCTATTGGAGAGATGGATTTGCAATAGAACAATTATACAGAGTGGAGAAAATGCTGTGGTATAGATGCAACCAAGGTACTAAGAGGAGTCTAACCCTACCTGGGGTGTCCAGATAATGATATACAGATCCATAGCTTCATGCCTAAGAAAATGATATAAACAATAAAAAAGAATGTACTTCATGTGGGAGAATGTAAAGTAAATGTGGCTTTATGTTTAATTTTAAGCACAGCATAATGTTGGTGGGGTTCTGAATCATTTTGGTACTATGTTGTTACAGAAATACACTGTGGTGAAATATTTCCACGTCTTGCCAAAATGAACGCTGAGAAAAAATGAAGAAGGCTGACAAACGCCAATGAAAAGTTGCAGAATAGAAATAGCCTCACTTTTCTGGAGTCTTTAATTCATCTACAGCCATCATATAAAGGTAGGGAAATAAATCGCCTTATGGTTTTGTCCTTTTAAAATGTATTTTAAAGTAAACAGTACTAAACACACAGAAACATGCATTTGTTGATTCAACAATATTCATTGGGTGACTGCTATAGGACTGCTATAGTGCCTGTTCCAGGCACTGGAAACTAAAAGGGCAAGGTTATGGCCTTGCAGAAACTCACTTTCCAGGGGAAAGGGTAAGTAAATAAATGAAAGGGAAACTGGCAACCACTGATAATGTTTGTGAACAGGATAAGGAGGTTAACGAGATAAGGGGTGACTGAGAAACTACTTTAGTTGAGTGTCAGAGCAGACCACTTAGAGAATTTGAACTAGGAACTGAGTGATAGAAAAAAGCCAGCCACATAGGGTTTGAAGATTGTGCCTTCCATGTGTAATGAACCAGGATCTACGTGGATATATTCAAGGTTTGGAAAGCAGGCCAGTATCACTTTAAGAGAGGGGCTTTGGAGAAACAGGACGTAGGAGACGAAGCTCGAGAGCTGTATAGATGTGGGAAAACGTCTTCATTTTATTTCAATAAAGATGGAAGTCATTGGAGAGTCATTAGCAGGCTAATGAAAGAATTTATATATTTTTAAAAGCCATTCTTCTTTATTGTAGCCAACTAGTATGTATGGGGGTTTCAGGAGCTGAAAACAGGGTGCTCTTATCCACGTAAGAGATACTGCTGACTTGGCTTAGGGATGCGGCATTGGAGATGGATGAATTTGAAAGATCTTTTGTGTCTGCTTCAGAACATAGATGACTACCCAAACTCTTTATGAATCTCCAAATATAATTCTAATTTCCATATGCAGGATATGCTGTCAATTTGTGTTTTAATACACAATAGTCAGTTTGTAACTTATTCCACTGTTTCAAAGAGCTGCTTATGATGCATATGTTTGTGGCCTGCTTCTGAAACATGGAGGATGTTGATGTCAAATTGTGAAAAGAAAGAAAATTCTGCCCTGAAATCTCATATTCTAGGTGGGTTATCTTGTAACACTCAGTGGCTTGAGCATTCCATATGTGTTTGTAACTCCTCTCCTGTTTCCTGGGTGGCTCCTGACTTCTAAGAACATTGTTGCTCAAGCCACTGAGAGACAGCCTGTGGGAAGGGTGTCCTTCTAGATGAGAAACATGAGTTTTTTAAGGACTAGTGGCTTAGGTCAGTCAAGCATAACTTCCAGACTACAACTTTCATACTGGGTTTTTCCAAGATGGAATGTTGAAGGGAAAACTGAAATCCAACTTCAAATTGGTGCTTTAAAATGATGAGAATATATGGATTTAAGCAATGGTTACCAGAGAAACTTATCCTCTGTGAAGTGACGGTTTCACATCTTGGATTATGTAACCATTGTGCAATGTCCTTAGGGGAGGGAAAGGAGGATAAGAAATGTATGCAATGACCTTGTAGGTCCAAATTTGCAAGAAGCCAACAGCTACTTTTGGAAGGTGGACCACCCTAAAGTCTGTGTTCAGAAGAGTTACTCATGATAGCTCAACTGAACAGTATTTTAAGATCTCAGCAAAGTACAGCTTGCTTTCCAATATTCATAACATCTGAAATGGTTCTAAACTTGTAAGGTGTAGGAATTCTTCCTTCCTCTACCCCAGATCCTTCTGTAAAGCTTTTGGTCATTAGAAAAACCACCCCAATGTAGCAGTTATACAGTGTTGGATAATTAAAAAGTCTCATGAGACTACAAGTTCACAGGAGAGCCAAGGCTCAAGCGTATTGAGGGGTATTTTTTTTACCCCACAGCTCAGGTAGCTAAAAGCAAGCTTTGTTAACAAGTTAACAGGTACAAACCATCAAACAGTAGAATTTTGATAGACAAGATGGTACAGGATGCTGGTGGTGTTTTAGACTTTTCACAGCACATTATAAATCACTAGCTAGCACATTTCACTTCTGACTTGCTCAAAATCAATACCATGTTTCCAGGTGCCCATCAAGATAAGCAAAGAGCTATGTGTGGCGCACAAGTTAACTCTTTCCTCATATGCTTAGAGAATTGAGCCAGGATGAAAGCAGAGAGGAGCTAAGGATGGCATACCCCATTCTGTGATTAGTCTTGTCATCCGCTAGACTAGGTACAACTCTTTGATTAGCTGGAGAGATCATTAACATGCTAGGCCTTTCAAGTGGAAGTCAAAGTTTCTTAAGAAAGTATTGGATTCAGAAACAACAGGACTAACATAAACTAGAAAGAGTAATGGTGCCTTAGGTTGATTTCTCCAGAAGCAGAGAGTGAGACAAAAAAATTGGAGTGGTGTTTATTGGGAGGCAATGCCAGTACACATTTGTAAAGTAGTGCAGATATGAGACAGAGAAAAGAAGGAAGACAGAAAACGTGCCTTATCACTTCTGTGATCAAAAGGTGCACAATCACATTAGGTAACTTTGGGATACAGCATAGGACATAACTTGGATTTATCCCAACCAAGAGCATAGAATTTAGGGTATTTAGCCACCTTCTCCCATCTGTTCTGACTAAAGGCTTCTCACCTGGGTGGAAGTGGGGAGTGTTAACTCCTTGGTATTTGTAACATGCCATACATGTAGACCAAGAAGACTCCAGCAGCCAGAGGAAGCCCTCAGGTAGAGTCCCAGATGTTAAAGCCGCCATCAGGTCAACTTGCACAATGATGATAACTACCAATGGAATGAGGATGGAGCACCTACAGTTTCTGCTACAAGAAGTGACAGCAAACATGATGGTGATGACCATGATCATATGAATAGAGCTATCAATTTATTGAGCAGCTAGAAGCCAAGTAGTATGCTAAATGCTTTACATGCATTTTTTCATTCAATTCTTATTTATTTGTTGAATATCTACTCTGTGTCAGGTGGGAGATATATACATATATATATATATATATGAGTATATATATGTGTATATAAAATCACCACAATCTTGCCTCATGTATATTATTCCAGGCTTTAATTTAGAGATGAGCACAGAGGGCTCATCAAGATTAATCTAATTATCTTAAGTAACATAGGAAATAGAGTTGGGATTCAAACCCAGTTTTATCTGCCTTCAAAACCCTCCCTTGATTTAGGCAACATTGTAATCCTTAACTAACTAATTAATTATTGACATTTTTCCAACACTCATCTATTAACAAGTCAGCAGGCACTATTTAGATTCTGAGATACAAAACAAAAATTGCCCCTTTTCCCAAGGAGTTCTATGTTTATGGAAGAGAAAGATCAAAAGAACTGTAGTATTATAAGGGCTATACTAGAAGTATGTTGTAGCTATTGAACAGGATCAAGAAAAAGAGTATCACTTGTTGCTGTATAACAAATAACCCCATAACTCAGTGACTTAAATAATAAGCATGTGTTATTGATCATGAGTCTCTGAGTGAGTTGGGGACTTTTACTGATTTGGGCTAAGTTTGGCTGATCTCAACTAGGTTTGCTCTGTAGTCTGATGACAGGTTGGCTGGAGCTGAATAGTCTCAGATGCTTCACTCCCATGTCTGGTGATTGACTGGATGTGGCCATGGCAACTCAGTTCTCCAGTGGGCTAGCCAGGACTTGTTCAATGGCAACTGAGCCATATGGATCACTTATTCAAGAGAATGAGTGAAAGTGTGCAAGGTTGCTCAAGGCCTGGCCTCAGAACACTCACTTCTACAACATACAGACCAAAGAAATTCACAGGCCAGCTCAGATTTAAGGGATGTGGAAATAGACTCTACCTTCTGGTGAGAGGAGCTCAAAGTCACATTGCAAAAGGACATTGATAAAGGAAGGGGAAGAGCTAGATTGCAAACAATCTACCAGGAAGAAATCATCTGAATAAAAGATTACAGAGTAAGTAGGCATTCCCTAGCCAAATAAGATAGGAAGAGAATTTAAAGCAGGAAGGGGCTGATTGCCATGGCTTATGCCTATAATCCCAGCACTTTAAGAGGCTGAGGCAAGAGGATCACTTGAGCCCAAGAGTTTGAGACCAGCATGGGCAACATAGAACTTATCTCTATAAAAAATAAAGTAAATTATCTGAGCATGGTGGCATGTCCCTGTGATCCCAGCTTCTTTGGAGGCTGAGGTAGGAGGATCTCTTGAGCCTAGGAGGTCAAGCCTGCAATAAGCTGTGATCGCACCACTGCACTCCAGCCTAGGCAATAAAGAAAGAACCTGTCTCAGAAGAGAAAAGAGGAAAGTCAGAAGGACAGTATGTGTTTATAAAGACACAGGAATATAGTGTTCCATAATGTTGTCAGGTTACCTGGGAATGAAGGCATCTAATGGTGAGAGAGAGAGAGAGAGAGGAGGATTAAAGACAAGAAATCTGTAAGGTATACCTGCATTCAGGAAAATAAAAGTTAACTTGCAGACAGAATAATATGTTTATGACAAAGTGATAGGCAAATGGGAAGATGAACAAAGTTAGGATGGTTGATTGGACAGACTGGTGTGGTAATAGGGTTACCAAAATTGTTAAGATTGTCTCTTAGAAAAGGGTTTATAGGCTGGGCTTGGTGGCTCAGGCCTGTAATCCTAGCACTTTGAGAGGCCAAAGCAGGCGGATTGCCCGAGCTCAGGAGTTCAAGGCCAGCCTGGGCAACATGGCAAAACCCCATCTCTACAAAAAAAAAAAAAAAAAAAAAAATGAGCCAGGCATGGTGGCATGCACCTGTGGTTTCAGCTACTTGGGAGGCTGAGGTGGGAGGATCACTGGAGCCTGGGAGGCAGAGGTTTCAGTGAGCTGATATTGCACCACTGCACTCCAGCCTATGTGATAGTGCAAAACACCATGTCTCAAGAAAAGGAAAGAAAGAAAGAGGGAGAGAAGGATTTGTAGAATGTTATTTCAACAGAAAGGAGGAGAGAGGAAATACTTGCCGAGTGATTGAAGAAAACAATGAGGTGAAAGTAGGTCTGAAGGAAAGAAATTTTTAGCATTTGACTGTGTTTGTGGCTTCAGGGAGCTGTTGCAATGATGCAGACTGCATGAT